CTGGTTCTAGTGAATACCCTCCTTAGATGTTTAGGCATTTCTGTCTTTAGGCATTTGGCTGTTTGAAAAGTATGTTTGAAGTGATAAATAATAATAACTTTATTTTTGTATCCTTCCTCCATCTCCCCAAAGGGACTCAGGGCAGCTTACATGAGGACAAGCCTGAACAACATAGTTAAAATATAACACATTAAAATTCATAAAACAGAAACATATGCAAAATAAAACAACAACAGCATAATACAATATAAAAACAACAATCAAACAGACAATCAGTAGTCTGAAATAACAAAACAGTTCTGGGCTTGGGCTGGAGGACCGATACAATCAGTTGTGAGGATAGGGCTAATAGATAACATGCAAGTGCCAGATGACAAAAATTGGGGATAAAGGGCAATATGAGGTGAAACACTATTAACTCTGGGCAGGGGGCAGTGGTAAAGTACAGGGACTGAAATTTGGGTCATAACTGAGAGCCAAATTTTTTTGGGGAAACCATCTAATCAAAAGTACAACGGAGCATCCACGGTTTTAGATCCTTGTGAATTGTTTCAATTATATAGGTGTTGTACGAACTTTCTCTCTAAGTATTCAGGAGAAAAGTGGGGGGTGGGGGTGGAATCAGAACTTTCCTTTCTATGAACATAATAAATCCTCAGAAATGGAATGGGGGGGGACTATCAATCTCCCCTTTCCCCTGGAGAAGACAATGGGTTTTTTTAAGGTTGGAATCAAAGTTTCAACTGCCAAGGAATATTTGCAGAATTACAGTTGGACCAGTGACCCATGGCTGCCAACTGTTTTAAATAGCTGCCAATAAAATAGATAGCTCCTTAAAACTATTCCCATAGTCATAATCATATAATTTTATAGTGCCACAGTAATAAAGCAACTTCTATTGCATTCCATTTCTGCCTGCAGGAAGAAGTATTATTTCTCCCACTGCTTTTGTGCGATGCAAGATTGTTTTAGTTATCCCCAGAAATGAGGCCTCAAGCTGTGGAAAAAGGAGGAGGATGCTACTCCATGTAGTTTATATTAGTTATGGAAATAACCAGAGGTCAACAAACTACCGTGTGATCATGCCAAACAATTATAATGATTCATCATGAGGCGGGTGCTGCTCCTCTCCCAGTGCAAAGTGCTCTAAACAAAGCATCTGTGAGAGAATCAGAAAAGCTGTGAGCTAAATTGCACATTGGGACATTTATGCATGAATCAGTATTAAGTACTGCAGTATGGGAGGTCATCTGTAATCCCTCTGTCAGGGTTTGTGCTCAGTGATATTATTGTGCTATACTAAGCACAGCCAGAATCATCTCATTGCATAAAATGAAGTACCGGGTGGAGAAGACGACCACAGATGTCAAAAGCAGATTTGCTTCTCACGTGCTTCCCATTTAAAATCTGTTTGTGCTGAACTACTGGTGACTTCTTGTTATGTTCTGCTAACAGGATAAATTAAAGCAATGCATTCAGACTCTGGCATGATAAAAATACAACATCTTCTCACAGCAACCTTTCATTTTTTTTTGTCTGATTTCAAAATGCTACATTCCTTTTGTACCTCAATTCATACACAATTGGATGTGATTGTCTGATTATCAGTGTCAACTTTTAGTATTAAACAACAGGAATGATTCCTTATTTCTGAGAACCAGTGTAGCAGTAAGAGCATTGGATTTAAGTCCTTAGCACAATGCATTAAGCACTCTCGATATCACAACTCTTTTCATTCATGTAGTAGTATCAGTTTGCCAATCCATGGCCCCACAATTGTACTTCAGCACAATTTCATAATCCTACCTCCTCACACTACTGCAATTTCTTAATTTTAAAATGTTTTTATTAGTAGCACAATTGTGCAATTCCACCATTTAAAAACCAAAAAGGCAAATCTATACACATAATAAAAGTTAAAATGTGTGTATGTGGCAGAGGTGTCCGCTTATACAGACAGCCTCCCACCTCCACAATGTGATCTCATGTATACTGGCTGAAGTTCAATAGAGAAAGGACGGGTATACATATAGAAATAAATAAAAACATGTTTTTCAGTGGTGTTGATAGAAACTGTATTCCTTTTGCACAAACAAGTTGCCTCCATTTCTGAAGGTTTTAGACCCAAGCCAAGTTTAACAAACCATAGTTTTTGTACATCTGAACTGAGAATACTTTAATAATTTCATTTGGTTCATATTCAGAAACAAACTGATTTACTTTGAATTTCTTTATTAATGGACACATATTAGGATAAAGTTAACTTTTTGATCCCACAGTTTTTAGAATTCAGTGATGCCATTCTGGGCTCAAACCTGGAAATAAAAATGAATATCTGAGAATATTTTATGTAGTAATCTACGTATTGGAGAAAATGTATACTAAATTATATACTAACTAGAGCAAGTAACATGGGAAAATAAATAAATTTCTATACATTTTCTAAAAAATATTGAAGCATAAAACTTTGATCAAAACTGAGCAAATAAATAAAAATCTGTCCTGGGAAGTGACTTTAGGTTGTTCAGTCCGATATTTTTCTCCAGTGCCATTTTGCTGCTCAAAGTCTTTTTCCCCACACAATTCGGACTATGAACTCTATCATCTGGAGCTACCATAGCAACTGCCTTTGTTGCCAGGGCATGATGGCAGCTAAAATGCACCATTTTCAGAGGACACCCCATAAGGACATTTCTACAGACTTAGGGATGAAGTTAGAGCGATCTTTTCAACTATCTTCGTAATGCAATCCATACTCATTTTCTCAAGCCATTCACTTCCATATTGATGTAAGTATCCTACTTTGTAAAGCAGTCCTCTGAAGGTGTCTTTGGAAGGGCTGTCGAATCCAACATTGATTTAAAGATAAAGACCCACAGCAAAACTGACCATGGTCTCTGTCCCTCACTTTTTAGCATCTGGACAGCAGGTCAAGCCAATATACGGCTCTCTTCCTAACTATATTCCTAACCATTCTCGGAAGGTGTGTTGGGCTTTATTAAGTGTGTGTTATTTTTGAATTTGCACTTAAATCAGTGCATTAACACATGCAAACCTCTGTCTTCTTTTGTCCTGGATGGTGGTTGAATTTGTGCATTTTTCTTTTTGATTATGTATAAACAGCAAATTTAAATATATGCTGCTTTTTCAAATGTTTCATGTATTTCAGGTGAACAGAAATTAAATCCTCCCAAAATATGCACAATAAGAATCATAAATATATCAAACACATCATTATATAATATTTATGCCCACATTAGCAACTTAATGAAGACATGATAGCTAACATTTCCAGAAGAAATTGGAACAAACATAAATAAATCCACAAGTAAATTCTTTTTACAAATTTATTCAAAGCTCTAAGATATCTGTAGTAATTTAACATCAGTATTTCAATATTACAACTTAAAACAATTGAATTGAGATAATTGTATTACATTTTGTTTCAGCATTGTCACAATACATAGAGCTGCATTAAGCTCAGAGCCACCAGCAATTCTTGCTGCAAGATCTACCCAACAGAGCATTGCTGCCAGTGCCTAGGCATCTTCAGCAAAAGGAGCTGCAGGCATTCAGGCCAATTGGAAATGAGCCAAGTAGAGGGCATCTTGGATTCACAGCTAACTGTTCTCTATCTAGATTTAGAAACTACCAGCAATCTTAGTCCTAATTACTTAAAGGGAAGTCAATTTTCCCATTTACTTGGATAAGAGCTTAAATGCCTTAAATCCAAATATTTTAGATTCATTGCCGGACATTGTATTGACACATAAACTGTCTAAAATCCATAGTATGGAACAGGACTGGACACTTAAGATCTATGTATTCTGACATAATTGGCTCAGAATTTTTGGCTTGAGCTTGTTATTTGCTCAGCTTTTGAATGGCCTTTAGCAAAGCTGCTTTGTAGGTTTCCTTGGGTTCAGTATGTTCCTTAATAAAGGGAAGCTATAAGAACATGAACATTTAAAAAAAACACTTCTGTTGAAAATGATAGGTGGAGATTAAATAGTCTCTTCATTACACATTGCTTCAATAAAAACAAAATTCTGTTCTGGTTTGGGCTTTTTTTAAAATCTGTCTCATTTCTGTTGTGGGTTGAGGGGAAAAATTGAACACCCCCCCCCCACACACACACACACACCTTTAGACACATAAAGCACATAATTGGTTTTACAGCTACTATTTGTTACTTTCTGAGGACTTCTGTGGGCCAGGAATGTGAATTAACAAAATGCCTGATCACCAGGCATGTAGCCGGGGGGGGGGGGGCTTGAGGGGCTTCAGCCCCCCCCCCCCAAATTCTCATGGTGGTTCGTGAAAAGGCCTTACTGGTGCATTATTTAAGCTGTTATGTTTATTCATATCATGATCTGATCACCATACTCAATATATCCCATATGCATGGGGGTATTGGGGTAATGATACAAAAGGTTTGCTAGGCTAGACCCTCTTTCACTCAGACTCAGCCCCCACCCCCCCAAACCCCCCTGAAAAAAATCCCGCCCCCCCCCCCCCGAAATGAAATCCTGGCTACGGGCCTGCTGATCACATTAATTTGCTATTAAAGGGCATTCAGAGAAGCACAGTCAGGATTATAGATATTATGGATATCACTCATACGATAAAATATCTGTTTGTTTTTTAAAGTAAGATACCCATTTCTAAAATCTTATCGGTTTAGGATCTTATTTTTCTCTATATTGCCTTTTTTCCTTAAGAGAAGAGGATGCCTTTCAAGATATACATGATCTGGATGCATATGAGGTGGCTAATTTTGAGTTAGTATTTGCTTAGTTATGAAAGCTCAAGTTCATCACTGCTTTTGGAAGGTAGAGAATATCACTATTGTAACATAGCTGCCATTTGCAGAATGTTATGTTTGGGGGGAGGGGTAAAATTCTAATTTACTATTGCTAAATCTCTTCCAGTATTCATCCTCAGTATTCATCCTCAATATTCTTCTGATTTCTTTTTTTTTCTTTTCCTCCTTTCCCCAGAATGCTCTGGGCCATTGGGAATTGAAGGCGGGATAATTTCAAATCAACAGATAACTGCCTCATCCACCCACCGTGCGCTTTTTGGGCTCCAGAAATGGTATCCCTACTATGCACGACTTAACAAGAAGGGTCTTGTAAATGCTTGGACTGCAGCAGAAAATGACAGATGGCCATGGATTCAGGTAACAGATGGCGCTGTGTGTGTGTGGGTGGAAAGAGCTCTTCTAGCCTCTGCTGTCAAAAGCATTTAAGTAACTCATGAAGACAAATGGAAAAACATTATCATGGTTCTTATTTGCAACCTGAACTGAGCCTAGACTGTTATGAGAAGGTGTTTCTATGCAGCTACTCTAATGCTTTCAAGCATTACTAAGTTCCACCTTATCAAAAACATGGCCACAAACATTTTCAAAGCATGGCTAACACTGCACAATGATGGGTAATAATTTTAAAATACACTGTTGTTTATTTCTGCTTTATATATTACTATATTTTTGTATTGTTGATCTGCTAACATTATCTACTGTGGAGAAAATTTTTACACTAAATAACCATCCCAATCTCATCTTATTATAGAAACTAAGATGAGACTCATCTAGTCAGTACTCAGATGGAAATTCATTAGAAAATACTGTACATGCAGATCTAAGAAATACTCCTGGTTGAAACTTTGAAAAATTATTGTTAGCTAGAGTTGAAAATACTGGGCTAGACAGACTAATGGTCTAATTGACTATGACATAGTGTCCTAGGTTTGTACGTATGTCTAAATAAGTACAAGTTATCAACACTCATTGTATTCTTAACTATCCTATTCCAAGAACAATGATGTATATCTTCCTATGCTGGCATTCTCACAACGTGGTTTTATAATATACATTAGGAGATAATTGTGTTGTTTGAGATGTTGTTGCCCTTGAAATATCAACTTTAATTTCTTAAAGTCCAAGGTTGCTTTGTTTTCAAAATGAAGACTTTCCTTATGCTAAGCTTTACTATTGTTGGAACAGGGCTTAGCAAGTAATGATTTCTCTATCATGAATATTCCCACCACCACTACCAGTAGCACTGGACAGCTCAGCCCATATTTTGAATTGGCTCAAAAGGGGGATAATTATTAGTTGAGTAGTGAACTACATCATAGCCTTATTTACAACATAGGAAATGAAATTTACTGCTTTATCACACTAATGCTTTAAAGCTGGCAGCTCCATGCTTTGGGAGTCTTCTGCTACCTGCAGAATTTTGGGAAATGTAGTCTGGGAAGATAAGGACCTCTGTATCTGAGAATGCAAAAGGCCCTGCCCTAAATTACATTTCCCAGAATTCTGCAGGCAGTGGAAGACTCCCAAAATGCAGAGCTGCCTGCTTTTAAAGCCCTAGTGTGATAAAACAGTTAGTTTCATCACAATTTATCCCAAAGCAGTGCCATCCAGAGTAGATCTTTGCTAATGGACCTCTTTCTCTGTTCATGGAGATGGAGCTCTAGATTATTTTACAGAGCCTAGAACACATTTCCAGGAAACATGAGGTGGTAGCTTCAATCATTAAAAAAATGTTTTTTAACTGTAAGGAGATGGTAAGGAGACAGCTAAAAGTGATAGCCTATTAACCCTGGAATTCCAGCAGATAAGTGATGTATTTGATATCTTCCCTAGTACTCTTTTAGATATGTTCTTCTCATAAACATCATGTGCCTTTAATAGTTGCATAAAAGACAAACATTCAGCAGGCATAGTTTTGTTTCCTCAACTCTGTCTTGTCTCCTCATAGGTATTTATTTGACATTATAGGAACAGAAAACTGGATAAGCTAAAACTTTGATAGAATTTGACTAGAGTTAGAATAATTTTACTTTTTTTTACTATAACAGCTATCTTATGTGTATTGAATTCTTATTCTAGTGATAAGGAATAGGAAATATATATTCATTACATCAGCACATCACCAAAGGGTAAAAGGGTGTGCTGGAGCAATCCAAGGGGCGGTGGTAGCCTAGGGTGCAGTTGGGGGTATTGAATAAGAATATGGTGGAAGCTTAAAGAAAGATGAGGTGAAAGTTATGAAATCCATTCTGTATGTTTCATTTGTTGTATAATATAGAATATTTTTTCCTGAAAAGAAGATAGTAGATCAAATAAGTTTGGGAGCCACTCCTGGGAAAGTTACTTTTTGGTCTACAATTTCCAGAAATCCCCACTCAGTATGGCAACTGTCCAAGCTGGCTATGAAATTCTGAGAGTCATAAATCCCCAAACGAGACATGTATAATATTTTACTGTTAGTCTCATATGATAGTGGATGATATAGATAGATAGATAGATAGATAGATAGATAGATAGATAGATAGATAGATAGATGAAACAAAATGACTAGGGAACATTCTCAGCATGTTACCTTTACTTACAATTCTTAACAACTGAAGCAGTGTTCAGGATGGGTGATTTTGACCATTCTCGGATGAGAATTTGCCAAAGCACTCTCCCTCCCACCATTCCAAAGATAGAACTTGAGCTTTAAAAAAAAAGGAAGGTGGATAAAGGTGAACCTGTCAAAGTCATCCAAGGTTCGATTGAATCTTCAAAATATTGTTTTGAATTCTTGTTTATCCAGTCATACATGTTATAGATACTGAGCTGTCACCTCTTCTTTCTGACATGCTATGTTAATGACTATATGGAAAATACTTGATAGCAACATAATTTTAATCATTGAGAGAGAAAATGGCTATGTAATAAAAACTGTTCCTGCAAAATGCAAATTTACCTGACATTCAGTGAACTTTTAATTTAGAGCTTATTTCAGTATTCTAATTTCAGATATAATTTCTAAAAGAAAATTCATTGTAACGGACAATGCTCCCAGTGAATGTAATTGCTAGTAGACCTCTAGATACTTTTCTTGTGTGATCCATTGGTATTATCCATTACTCTGTGCATTTTCACCTTCATCTGCTACATATCAAATGAAAAATCAGGACAGTTTTTACATAACTCTTTTATAATATGCTGTTTCCACCATAGTCTTTAACACATACCATCCAATAAATAATGGATTGCTTGTTCCTGCATTCCCTAATCAACCTGAATACTGAAATCGTCATTCTGAATTTCCATTCCCAGTATGTAATTACTGCTGGAACTACAATGCTTGTAATTGGCTTGTCATTTAAAGGGTCAGTAGTTATGGAATGGAAAGCAAATTAAAGATAGACTTAGGAATCGGTCCTTATTTAAATCAGTCCTTATAGATTTACTTGATTAATAAAATAGCATTCATGTTAAGCAGTTACGGCTTCATTAGGAACACTGAGAGGCTTATCACACTAGGCAGTTGTCCATTTGAAAACCTCTTCTGCTGCACTTAAAAAGCTAGTGGAATAGCAATGTGTTCTTTCACAACATCACTGAAGTTGTGCTTCAAAAGTATTAGTTGAAAAGGTTGCTTTCTTATACTATAAACTCGACACTACACTTCATACAACTGTGTTTTCTCTGTCTCCTGCTTGGTGGTTGGTGGTTTTATTTAAGAAAAAGAAAAGGAACTTATAATCTGGCAATGGCACAATTAAATAATTTGTACTGATGCCATTATGGAAATCACCCACCCTCTAGTCCCCCCATACTGAGATGATGAATACGCACCACACCGCTTCCACCATTTTTAATGCTTTTTCCTATGAATCATCACTTGCCTGGTTCTGCTTTCATACATTACTCTTTAAATTTTGGAATATTTGCTCTTTATTTTTCCTTTAAACTCTTCCTGAACTCTTTTATTTCTCTAGGCACTGAATATAAAAAGGATTGCATTGGAATTGTACTGCCATGCTACTCCTCTTCTATTCTAGAGGATAAACCTTCAGCAGCTCATTTGGGAATTCTAGTCCTCCCAAACCAAACATCAGAAGGAGTCTGTTGTTTTACCTACTGGGAATCCTTGGAGAATCTCCAGGGAAGGGAGAATGAAACCACACCTACACTATGCTCACTATGTTCCCAATCTCATAACAAAGGGCAATTTTACATTTGTATCCAAAGGGGCTACTAAACTATACTGGGACAGAGGTTCCTTGATTGATTATTTAGGCTATTTTAAGTGAGAAAAGAATCGGTTTCCAAATGACCTGTCAGAAAGACACAACATCATGCAATAAGCTCCAGACCATGATGGGGGTCAGCTTAGTACAAATGTACCATTGTTGTGTGTTAAGCTCCTACAAGATGTTACTTTGAGTTCAGTATGAGATAACCTCACTTTATGCCATTTTTATTTTAATAATTAGTAGTTATAGTAGCTTAATAGGATGCAAGTAAGATAAAATTTGGATTGAATCACAGCAGCTCACATTACAAAGACTAGCCATTTTAACTGTATAGATCAGGAGCCCCCAAACTAAGGTCCATGGGCTGGAGACAGCCCTCCAAGATCAATAACTTGACCCCCATCCTAAACCTTAGACTTAGGGTTGCCCTGATAGAACTTGAAGGCACACAACAACAACAGTCCTAATTAACATGAGTATCTCATCAGCCAAAAGCAGGTCCACACTGCTAAGGTATACTGAAAGCGGGGTGAGCTTTGCAAGCATCAACACCAAGGTTGTAGCAGATATATGTGTTAAGGAAAAAACTCATGCTGGTGATCATTATATGCAGGCGCTAATTAAGGTCAGTAAGTTTGGACCTAGAGCTCCATGCAGTCATGCTGGCCACATGACCTTGGAGGTGACTATGGACAACGTTGACTCTGGTTTTGAAATGGAGATGAGTACCACCTCCCAGAGCTGGACACGACTAGACCTAATGTCAGGGAAAACCTTTATCTTAAGTTCGGACCACATCTAGTGGAGTATGGCTGGGTGTGTTTTAGGATACATGTGGGCTCTCTCCTTTGGGAATTGGCGAAGCCATTCTCTCTGTGTTTTGTGATACATACAAAGTCTATGTAAGTTTGTTACTCTGTAGGATTTATTTTTGATGCAGTGCTACAAGTTTATGTTTTTGACTCTGCTGGAAAAGAGTAAATTTCTCTTTCAGCTGTGTGAAGCTACTGTGTCTTTTTTGGGCTAGATTCCACATAAACTGCAACACATACTTCCCATTGAAGCTGGATCTATACTGCCCTATATTCCAGGATCTCATCCTAGATTATCTGCTTATCCCAAAATATCTGGCAGTGTTGACTCAAGCCCCTTCTATATTGCCATATAATCCAGTTCAAAGCAGATAATCTAGGATCGGATCCTGGGATATAGGGCAGTGTAGATCAATTCTGAAATACTGAGAAGTTTATTTTGGTTAAAATTGTTCTTCATTTAAATATTGTATTGTTCTTTTATTGGTTTTTTGCACTACAAATAAGATTTGTGCAGTGTGCATAGGAATTCATTCATGTTTTTTCAGACTATATAGTCTCCCCCCTCCCCGAACAATCTGAGGGACTGTGAACCGGCCCTCTGCTTAAGAGGTTTAAGGACCCCTGGTCTAAATTCCTAGAATGGTCACTCAAGAAGGAATGCTCACTGTAAAGACACCAAACAATACCCAGATGCATCCATCACCATTAGGAACTAACACCAGAAAGCCACATTGTAAGTAGAGTATCTGAAGGTCAGAAGGCATTTGGCTAACTACTAGGGGAGACCAGAAGACAAATAAACATAATACTGTGTATACTGATGCAAATGGACTCAAGTTGAAATAATGTGAAAAGAAAGTCCAAAATACATCCAATGGTAATATGGAATTTGAGACACATGAATCTAGGCGAAGATAGAAATTGAATTATTAAATATTGCAATATTTAGTAATAGGATATCTTCGATCATTAATAACAGTCAAAGTATGAGGGTTCAAAATGCCCATCTCTCATTTGAGCCAGGCTTTTATAAGCCCGCAAATTTCACAGCATCTCTACTGAGTTTAGCATGTATTTGCCGCATGCAGCCAGCATTGTCATTTATAGAAGTCCTTCCCCTCAGCTGGGAAAAGAAAGCCCCATAGGTTGTAAAAAGTCAAGGAGAAGGATGCAAAAGGACTTGACTCACTGAAACTGCTTCCAGACATTGATCTGTAGACCAGGAAATGCATTGGTCCCTAAGGCTCCAGCATGTGATAGAAGACTTTGATCCTGAAATGGTGCCTCCCTTTCTCTCCATGTAAGATTCATATATCTCTTGCTCGTTGTTGTTTCTTGAGCTCAAGCAGTTCAATACTCTGAGGGAATCGGAGAACAGTGAAATACATCTTCATGTTCTGCAGAAAAAAGATATTTTTGCACTGGCCAGAGGTAAAGAGTATATTCAGCTTCTGATATTTCCTCCTTTTGAATTAATACTCATATCCCTTATGACATATCAAGTACCATATTTACTTGAATCTAATGCTCACCCTTTTTGGCTAAATTACCTCCCCAAAATTAGAGTATGCATTAGAGTTGTGTAATATGGTAATCTTAGTGCTAAGCCAATGCAAAAGAGGGAGCTCCTAGTTGAGGGATATCATCTCTAATTCAATTGCCATGGCTCAATTCTATGCCATCCTGGGATTTGTAGTTTGGTGGGACATCCACATTCTTTGGCAGCCCCCTTGATCCCAAATTACAGTCACCATGACCCCATAGCATTGAGCCAGGGCAATTAAAGGGGATATATGTTATTTGGGTTGTTGTAGGTTTTTCGGGCTGTATGGCCAAGTTCTAGAAGCATTCTCTCCTGACGTTTCACCTGCATCTATGGCAGGCATCCTCAGAGGTTGTGAGGTCTGTTGGGAACTAGGAAAATTGGATTTATATATCTGTGGAAACTCCAGGGTGGAAGAAAAACTCTTGTCTGTGGGAGCTAGGTGTGAATGTTTCACTTGGCCACCTTGATTAGCATTTGATGGCCTGACAGTTTTTAGGTGTGCCCTGTTACTGCCTGGGGAATTCTTTGCTGAGAGGTGATTAGCTGTTCCTGTTTGTTTCTTCTCTGGAGTTCCCCTCTGTTTGAGTTTTCTTCTTTATTTACCTTTATAATTTTAGAGGGTTTTTTATACTGGTAGCCAGATTTTGTTCATTTTCATGGTTTCTTCCTTTTTGTTGAAATTGTCCACATGTTTGTGGATTTCAATGGCTTCTCTGTGTAGCGTGACATGGTTCCTTGCTTAAATTAGTTAATGAAATATGAAGTTACAGTTTCTTTTGTTCCATTAGATTGTTCTATGCTCATTTGACTATTCAACCTACTTGCAACAAAACTTCCTTGTATTTACTTAATTATTGATTGTAAAAAGATAGATCCAGTATAATAAACTAAAGTAGGTTTGCTGAGGAAAGTAATATATAACATCTGTTTGGAAAAGGCTCTCTTCTTTCTTTTGCCAAGAATATTTTTAGAAGGAAATATATCCTGCTATAGAAATTAACATATTGGACAATGTGATTAAGAAAGGATAGATAAATCACAGGAGGATCTGAATTATTTTTCATTTGATTGATTTTTTGTTGTCAAGGAAATAAACTATATTGCAATTTTAAAAGTGAGCCTTCACTAGGGGTACTGCTGCATCTCAGTTGTAGGCATAACTGCATATTGTTTTTTTCAGATATCAAGTATAGTTTATAATGGTAATTTTTTGTAAATACATTTGCGGTTTAAAAATTAGGAAAATACTTGGCTTTTACTATCAGAACTATGAAGAATTGCATGGTATTTATGTTCTGAATTTAGACTTTTTAAGAGTCATGAATTGAATTCAACAATCTTCCAGTATATTATCTTAAAGATGAACAAATTTGACTCTACTGATCATATTTTTGTTTAACATTAATTTATAAGCATATTAATATATACAGGCCATCTAAGGATAAAACTTCATGGGTCCAATGCATGTGGGCTATAGTCTATGAAATTATGTGCCACAGCAAGTGAGATGCCGCAAGGCAATGGAAGACCTATTAGGTTAGGCTCCAGCACCCACTCAAATTTTCTTGGTGGGAAATTATATGCTGTCCTCAATGAATACCTCTCAAAATGGGATAAAAATCCCATTTTTGCCTTGCTATACATCCCCAGTGCCCCCTGGAAGGGAGAGATGGACAATTGCATTACAATTTGGCCCTTTCTCATTGTTTTGGGTTGTCTGTTTTCCCATTAAGGAGTATGTATGCCTAAATGGATGTGTTGAATTTGTAATGTTTATCTTTAAGTATTTTAAGGTATTTTAATTACTGTGTTCAATGAATGTGTGTTTTTATATGGCAGTATATAATTTGTCATATTTTTAAGACATTTTATGATGTTGTAAGTGCCTTTAATTTCAGGGGGGAAAAGAGAAGATACAAATACATGTAATGCAATTAATTGATCTGGAATATTATGTGATCCTCAATGAGAATATAGATCTCAACAAAAGGTTCCCAAAATATCTTCAGAGAACATTGGCTTCAGAATGGATCCAGTTATGCTGATGATGAATAGCATCAGAGACAATGTTCAAATTTTTTAATATACAAAAATGTGTTTCTTAAATAACTAGACAAGACTCTTCACAGTTCAACTTTGAGGAAATGACAGGTTTTTTTATAAGACATTTTCTACACATAAAAAGAAAATATCTGTAAAAAAGAGAAAACATCTGTTATATAGCATGTTGGCTTGGTTTTTGTGTGTGTGTGTGTGCAGAAAATGCTGTTTCTGCACACATAAACCCCAAGGTCCTAACACAATAGTTTTTGAATTGCTAATATTCTTTAAAAATGGCACAATTTTCAATAATTTTCTTATAGCAAGGAAAAATGGTAAAGTTATCAGTTCTTGGCTGTGATAATGGAATTCATGAATATTTACATCCCCTAGTAGTGAAACAGACAAATCAATACAGGAAAGCTAAATACTATTATGGTTTTGTATTTAGTCTTGGGCCTCAAGAAGACTTGCATGTTTAACTGTTGAATATAAGGACTTCGAGGCTTATCAAGGCAGGGGGGGAACAATCAAAGAAATCCCACCGCTGCCACCAATTATA